ATGTTGCTGTTTTAGTTTCATGCTTTCGGACTTTGTTGCTCTCGAAGGTGAGCCTCTGCGCAGGTCTCAGGTGTTTGGCATCAGTGGGTTTTCTTTCAGTATTGATCTGAATTTTGTTGCATCCACCTCTCCACTTAGGAAGCATGTAAATGATTTTATTGAAGGGTACCAGAGGGAGGTGGGCATTTAAAACATTGTGACAAAGTTTAAAATCCCCCAAACATGTCTGTGCGATCAGAATTGTTAATTTTATTACTATTTTTTCACTATATGTACAATGAGGGCATCAATAAATACCAGTAAATTAGAAAATAAATGTGGTTACTGTGTTCAAGTTAGTGATATAAATCATACAGATGCAATGTTTCTGAAGAGCAGTCACAGTAATACAGTTACCTAAAAAAAACGTTGTAAATATCATTATGACAATAGTACCACAAAATATTGCGATAAAATTTTAAGTTCCACCTTTAGTAACAGAGTAAAGCGTAAAATATCCGGCCTACAAGAAGGACAGTAGTTGTAAAACTGTAAATAAACATCATTCTGGGACACATTTTAAGCTTTGCCGTAGAGAGGAGAAAGTCTGCAAATGTTGCTTCCATATTTAAACAAACTTATCTCCACCAAAGTGAGGTCCAAACAACAACACGCCTCAGGACTCTTCCACAGCTTTCAAACAAAACAGAAGCTTCTTGGAAAACCACTCCAGAGATGACCATCCCACAGATAACCATCTTGTCTATCTGTGTAAGTTTAGAGTTGAAACACAAACAGAAAAGAAAAAAAAAGGTACGAGGAGACCTCTCTGCTTGTTTGGTTTGGAAGTGGAGGGAACATATTTGGAACGGATTCTTCCTCGACTCAAATTGAAGTTTGATCTTCAATTTAAGAGCGAAAATAGCATCTTTCACCCGAGCTCATAAAGGCTCTGGAGGCGTCACATGACACGAAGAGTAACATATTTCCTGAATTATTCACAGGCTAACACATTAATGATGTTGCCCTGGAAAGATTCCCCTCCAATTCTATTTATAGGAGTTTTACATTTTATGTTATCTGTGAGAAGCTTATCTCATTGCAAAAGATCTTTATCCACCTGAAAGCCGGAAAATAAGTGAAATTCCCTCATTAATTTACTGACGTCTTTAGAAGCCACACATTTATTGAAGAAGGCATTTTAATTTGTCTGTCTGGTGGGAAAATACCATTTGCAATAGCAGGAAAATGAATGTAAATTTTGTTGGAAGTTAGTTTGCTTGTTGCTGCATTTTCTCTAATGGTGACCTAAAAATGTCTGTCAGATCAAATGTGGTAAATATGAAACCATCTGCTCGCGCTAATTATGATCAGCAAAATTTTCAGAGTTACTGATGGAATTAAAAAAATATGCATGTGTATAGAAGAGAAAATACTGGTTGAGATGATGAAATAAAAGTATATATAACTCAAATTTGGTTCTACCAATATCTGCCTCTTCTTTGTTTTCTTCTCCTTCTGCCTCTTTTCTACATCTGTGCCCCTCTGGAGCCTAATTTAACATTTTCTGCCAAGATGTCAGTGCAGCGTTTGTCAAAGTTTGGTTTTCCACTGCAGGAACCTGCTCTGTTGTATCCAGAGGATCCTGGGCCAAATCAGATTACCAGGGAATCTGCCCCCAACAACAACGATAGGTTGGCAGCGTTTTAGTTTGGCTTTATGGGAAGAAGGTAAACACTTCCTAACGGTTGATTGTTCCCTGTGCTATGTTTCACTTACCTTATGCTATATTTAAAATGTGACATTCTAGCTTTAAACATGGTTTCCTCTAATAAGAATTAGCTGTTAACATTCCTAAATTCGGCTAACTTTGGAGGAAATATGAAAACAATCAAAGTTGAATCTTGCAGTTTCAGTTGTCAATGGAGGAGATAATAAATACACAACAATTTAACAATTTTTAAAGCCTTTTCTCTTTCTCACCATGTATCCTGGCCTGAACAGGAGGAGATAAAAATTCTGTGTAAAACTGAGTTTTGTGACATCTTTGAAGCATGTCACCATTCTGAATAGTGCGTCTATATCAGTTTCACTGTTTTCTACTATAATGATTAAATTTACATCCTCATTGTGTTTATTTATGTTTTTATTTTTCACATTTAGACATGACATTTATATGCAGAACATTAATTTAAATTAGTGTTTCAAAGAAATTAGTGTTGCCAGATTAATCAAAAAGTAGGCCAAGCTGTCAGTTTCACCATTAGCTTCCACCGTTGAGTATGCTAGCAGGGTACCAAAGCTCCTTTTCTCTGCTCTGCAGAACTTTGCATCACCTACATTTATTCTGAGTTTGTTACGCCTTTTCATAAAGTTTGCAGTTAGCTTTCAGTCTAAATCATTGATTATAGTTTTATTTCACAACGGTAACATTTGTCTCATTCTCTGTTACACATTAAGTGGATGAAAAAGACGTTTTGGTTCCAAAATAGCTAAATTCCTGTGCTAAAAGGTGCAAATTAAACGGTTTCAGGAAAGTCTGGAGCTATAAAGCAAATTAGGTTACATAATTAATATGTTTAGCGCCACTTTTTGAACAGAAGTTTTACCATCGATAAAAAACAAAAAAGCATCCTGGCTCCACAGGAATCTGTACTGCAAGTGCCAGCAGACTGTAATCCAGAAGTACAGGTTTAGAAATTTATGTCCAGCAGTCCTATCAAGAGAGTAAGATGAGATTTGCCTTCAGGAAGTCTGTAGAAAGAAGTCGGTCATGCTCACACACAAATCAAAAATAAAAACGGGGAGTTTGTAGCAAGAGATTCTCAAAAGTAAGAGCTGAAGATTAAAGGCAATCCATCTGTATGCATAAAAAAACACGCACAATCAATTTGCAGGCTAAATATTGAACCGCAATAATTCCTCCTGTACATAGAGACTCCCTGCTGTTTGATGGGGATGCAGCTTCTGCAAACTGGCACTAATGTGGAGCTCATTTTGGGTTATGCAAAGCCAGGTTGCTAGAAGGACACCATGGTGGGCTGTTTCCACGGCACTTGATATTTCGGTGGAAACACGATGTGGCACTGTTAGTGGAACGGGCAATCAATACGCTGATGAAATGCCTTCATCCTGGATCCCATGCTCTCATAGAGAGAATAATACATCATGTGGGGGCGCAATGATTTCTCAGGCAATAAAAGAAAATAAATCAAACTTGAACAACAGCGGGGGAAAAGAAAAATGTGCTGCCAATAAGTTTTTTTATTATCTTCCACCTCCAACTCTGAGAAAGCTGCCGTGTTTATAAAGAAATGAGAAAAGCAACACAAGTGAATCTGACAGGTTGGAGCAGTGGAGCAAAGCCAGTTACAGACATTTAAAAACTCTGCTGACACAGCAAAGAGTGACCATTGAGACATTAGCATTAGCCATCACCGCAAACCACGATTTTATGGCTTAAATGTTCAATGAAGAGGAGAGCTATTCGCGAAGATTTCTGCCATGAAGGGCGGCCAAATAAGGTCACTCACTCAACTTAACCGGGGATTCAGGTTTCCAAGTTTTCCTTTTATTTAAAATTAAAGAGGCATCCATTTTTCCACGATTGTTTGACGGCTTGTGGCGAATGCGAGGATAAACGTAACCTTCCTTCTGACGTTTGCCACAGGGTCTGGAGTTAAAAGGAGGCGGTGTATCCTCTTCACCACATATATAGGAGAAAATTCCCTTAGAGAAGCCGCCTGACCTCAGATCTGCCACAGACCATGTAACAGGGGTGACTATTGTGATTCTGCACGCATACCATCACCCACTCACCAAAGTCGGAGGCAGCTTTGCTTCCGTAGCTGCAGCAGCTCGGACTGACAGCCGACTTTCAAAGGCTGCTGCTCTCATCGAGCTGCTGAAACTAGTTACAGTGCGTCCACCGCTAAATACTGCAGGGGAATCTCAGGACTCTGCTGTGGCCACTGAAAATGATGTGCGGTGGGGCGATCAGAGCAGGGGAAGAGAGCGAGGTGGAGGGGGAGCAGACCGTGCCCCACGATCAAGGTTGTGCAAGTTCTTGGAAGGAAGGGAAACGGAGTCCAAGGAAAATCATCGTTGCAAGAACTCCTACCTCAAGCTGAGCTGAAATTAAAGAATGCTACAGGGGTTAGAGGAGGTATTGTTTTGGCATAGATGCAGTTAAATTTAGAAAATAAGCAGAATCATGTGCACACATTTGGAGAAACTACCAGGTTTAAACATTTACATATTTGCATTCTTTGAGCGCAGTTTGTTGCTCTTGGAAACCGCCAACTTGCGGCAGGAGGAGAGAGGAGAGAAGGGGGGAAAGGAAAAGATGTCAGCAAGGCCCCAGTAAAAACATACTTCATTATTCTCCGAGCGCCACCGACTCATGCAGCTCGTCCCCGAATCCAAAACAAACACGTCTAACTTTATCCCCAACCTGATAGCAGAGGAGTCGTTCTATGACTTATGACTCCTCTCATCCTATTGTGCGTTTAGATAAACTGATCCTCTACTGTTATTAACAAAACATTTTGATAGTTACTTTACATGTTGGGACTTCAAGTTTGCATGGGGCTGAAACCAGGATTTGATTTGTGGGCCCATTTACCAGCAGGCGCCTCACAGCCACTAACATCTGCAGAAAATTATGCAAAACTGTCTGTTCTCACTTTGTGTTCAATTAACACATTAAAAGATTAATATGAATTTCTAAAATTTTCTGCTTTCAGGAATATGATTAAAACATTTCAATCTGTTTCACAGTGGGGAATAAATTGTGCAAATGTTTTTTCTTTTTTTTATCTGACTTGCTAACAGTCAGTCAATCTAAAACTGAAAGGTTCAAGAAAAACAGTTAAAGGTTGTGTTCACAATGAATATGGTAAAGTTTCCAGTTATGTCCCTAGATTTATTTATGCTACATTTAGCAAGCTAATTGCTAATTTAATATTTAAATGAATCAACAATTCTCTTGAATTTGCTTTTCAGAAAACATAAAATGATTATAAAGTAGGCTTCTTCTTAATTAACCTAAATATGAAGTCTTGAGATTAATCATGTGAAGGGCGTAAGCCTTCTCGGGGCCCCTTGCTGGCCCACTTAATCTTTGGACCGGCCCTGGCTTTGTCTGCATCTGGGAAGTAAAACAGATCAGAACAACTTGGATTACATCTTTACTCTGAAAAGAAAGAGTACTTCATTCTGATAGCGAACTAATTATCCAAAGTAGGAGCAATCAGACATCTCTGGAGAAAAGAAGTGAACGTGTGCTCTAACTTCATAAGACTTGAGACTGAATTAATTACAGATCAAAGTGCTGCCAGTCAGCATCACATCACACTGTGAGAGGAGATGATGAACACAACTGCTAAAGTGGGCCTTTGACTTGTTACCATGCGAGAATCAGGGGGTAACTGATCTGGAGACAACTTGCTAAAAGACCCCATCCGCAAAACTGCTTCCATGTGGCGGTTTCCAGCGCCATTTACGACCAAATGTTTCTTTGTTCAGTTCCAGTGGAGCTGCAATAGTGTAATTTCAAGGAGCATTGGAGGCAAAGACCCGGGTGGGCAGCTAGTTTCTTAAAAACCAGATGCACACATTATCCGTTCATTTCGGAGGAATATTTAGTTTGAGCTTGTGAGATTTCAGATTTGTTTTCGTAACGGTTCTATAAATAGTTGAAATCAAGCACAAAGAAATGCTGTTTTCACACTTTGAGTTGGATGATTCATCTCTGCGTTTTGCTTGAGTTTAAACAGACCCAAATGTCTGATTTGCATGCTGGAACATGCAACAATACTTCTTAAAGCAGTGCAACAATTCAGAATCAATACAATTTATCACATTGCGTCTCACAAAGAGAGTTGCTTGTGCCAAATGGCAGTTTTCATATCGACTTGTGTTATGACTGAGTGTGTGCTTTTGGCAGCAGTTTGTTTGGATTGTTGATAGTTGGTTTATTATGCCCCAGAGCCTGAAAGCTTCATTGTGTTATTGGCTGAACAAATCTATGTTACAGACATTTGAGGCTTAAGCAAAACCAAATTATTTTCCTCACTCCTCTGTCATGTCTGTAGCGTCTGGTCAATTTTACAAATTTTAATCTTCAGCAATCTCAGAAAATCAGATCGCTGCGGCAGTCCTGGAGCTTTTGTGTCCACAAGCCTCTTTCATGAAAAACATTACACAAAAATCAAACCTCAGAAAGTTCTCAAAGAAATGTTTTTTTTTTTTTTTGTTCAGTTTTTCTTTTGTGTGTGCAGCACATTTATGGGTTTTCCAGATGTGGTGGCATTCATCACCTGGTATGCCTGAATAAAAAAAGAGGCTCTCAAAGGGGACATGTGTTGGCTGCTTTTAGAGGGGCCTGGTTTACAGTAAACCAACATGTTTTCAAAACCTTACCAACAATCAAAACCCAATCCCAAGCAAATGGTTAGTGAAACTGAAAAGAGACATCTGAAAACCGCAGAAAAGTTTAAACTCAAACAGAAAGATAGGCTTTTATGGCTTAAAGAAGCACGATACTTTCCCATTTTGAAATGGGATACAAAAGGAATTCAGCAAACATATGAATTTCTGAATATCCGAGCACAAAATCTGAAAAATCAAACCCATTGTATGCATTTGTCGCCCTACTACCGCGATCATTGTGGTCATTTTTACATTTCTGATCAGACACGTCAAAAAAACATGGAAAGGTTGACAGAAATCTGGGTGTTAGGACCAATAATTAGTAGACTTTCTACCATTATTTCACCTAATTTTCAGTCATGTCGCTTTGCATTTACTATGCAGGAAAAACCATGACACAAAAACAATATTGTCCAAGGTGCTCAGTCCCTTCTGCAGAAATCTCTCTTCAGATTGGGAGAACTGAAAAAAACACCATCAGTTCTCCCATCAGCACTAAATGCAGAAGGAATCACACATCCTGAACCCAAAATCTGTGTGCTCTTGATTGATTACTGTGAGTTTGCCCGATCACAACATTCCCTGCACTTCCTGTTTGATCAGTTTGTTGCCTGTTTAGGTCAGTTCCCTTCTGTTGACGGGCAGCGATCATTTTCTTCTCATTGCTTCCAGTGACTTTTGGGTCAGTGCCGGTATCGACACCATGCTGAACAAACCTTTGCATTCCGAACATATTTTACGCTAAAACTGACTTTACTCAACACGTTTCTTTTCTGTTTTCATTTTTGTCTTTTCAAAGTAACATATTTGCTGTGCGCTACCAGTACTAAAGTCAAAACTCTTAGTTTACATGTTGTTTTTTTAAGCTGATACTTGAAAACTTTCCACTGCTCCTCCTGGCTATACAACTCAAGGGACTGCTGACTGTCAGAGTGCACCTTGCAGATTAATCCCATCAACAAAAGGAAAGATAGAGAAGCTACAGTATGTTCCAATTAGCTTCACCGCTCAGTGTCTACTGATCTCTTCCAAACAACTTGACTGCTCCACCTGGATTATCTGCTGGATGTTAGACTGCGTGAGCTTGATTGTGTGAACCTGCGTGCACAATGTGCATGCAAGTGTGTGATTTAATTAAAGTTTGAGGCAGAGTGGGAAAAGTTTGATTCAGCATTGGCAGAGTGAAAAATTGTCTCGTTTTCTTGTCTTGGTTTCTGTGTCGACTCTTATCGCCCTTTAAGCTCGGCCACTGCACAGGTTATCTCCAAATTACAAACAGAACTCATTTATTCTTCAATTGAATTAGGTCCTGGAGAGAGGACTTGCACTACCATCTCTTCTTTATGAAACAGCCCCAACAGCGCTGGCTTTCCACCGACACAATGATTAAACCGCAGCGCAGCCTGGATCAAATACCTCAATCAGAAAGTGCTGCTTGTTCTCTTCCTTTGTCTCACTAACAATTCCTCTTCCCCTTGGTCTCTCTTCCCTCTTAAACCCCAGCAACAATGACACGAGGCTTCTGCAGAATGTATTCCTGGCAACACAATGCACAGCTTAACCGAAACACCACCAGGTGTAAAAAATACAAAAATGCACCTCCTACCATATCAAATTCAACAACCCACAAAATTAATTAAAAAGTTTTCTGTAATTGTTCCAAAGCTTCATGGGAATGATTGCAAATACAACATCACCACCTGACACCTTAACTTTTTACTAATTGTAAAAATTATTCTACTCTATTCTGAGTGATTTATTTACTACACACAGTAGTACTGTTCCCAGTTTTGAGTCAAAACAGTTTTTTTTGGGAAGGAATATTGTAGTTCTATTGCTAAAATGTTGCTAATCCAGTGTTTTATGAGTATTCAATCCCATGGTTGAAGTTACCCTGGCAACAATCACAACCTCTTGTAAGGTTGGGTACCACAAGCTTTGCTCGTCTGTTTTTGTCTCCCACTCCTCAAACGTTAATTTATTGGTGCTTTTAATCCAGACTGACATCTAATCTCATTTTAGCTGAGCACTTTGGGTTAGGATTATGTTAAATGACAAATCATCATCCTACTGTTAGCGTGTCTTCAGTCAGAGGGCTCTTTGGAATCGTTGCATGACTGACTGCTACAGGACATTCTTCCTGTCTACAGCGTCCACAACTCTTCAGACGTTTGGATAATATGATATGACGCCATTTAACTTTCCTTTGGGATCAGTTAATTAGTTTTTAATTGAATTAAACTGAAATCTGTCTCATAATAAGTTTATAATATAAATAACAATGTAGGCACTGTGTAAAGCTTAAAATTCCCAAGAAGTTAGTCTCTTACTTGCAAAATGAAAGACAAAACTGATGTAAAAATCTAGATTTCACTTTCTAGACACAAATCCAGCTCACATCGTGTCAATCATTCTTCCTGAGCAGACATCTTGATTAAAACATTGAAGAGCAAATGAAAATCTGTCCTTTCCTGAGATTTATAAAAGCATTATAGAGGACATAAATAATTCTGGATCACATTTCTGGCTGCTGTAGTATTAATGTTTGATGTTTCTCGTATACCTCTAAATGCAAGTGGAACTGAACAGTCTTGTTTTCCTACAATGCTGAAACATCTGGTTCCCCACTGCACTCACACACGTTACAAATGCAGACACGCTACGCTGTAGCATCCATCCGTTTGTGAAAAACAAAACAAAAATAAAAACATTGATTATCAGGTTCTCTCTTCATTCTCTTAGAAAACTGAAAGCCACAGCTGTGACAGATTTCTGCTAAGTTTGACAAAGCTGTGGAAAAAAAGCGGCGAGTTGCAAGTTCAAGCCCCCGGATCTAGAGGGTGATTGTATGAGAAGATGTAAGCGAAAGAGGAATGATCACAAAAGATGACTCTAAATTAATTTGGATTCAGAAAGTGCATTTTCTGGTATTGCGGTTGTTGGAGCAGAAACAAAAATGACAGCAATTAACTAAAAACGAAACACAGAAGCACTAAACTGTCTTGTAATATTAGTGAATACTTTCCTTCGGCTCTTTTTAAAAAAAAAATCTATTCACTACTATTTAAGAAAAACATATTTTCTTCCTTTCTGTACTTCTTGTGTCGTTACATTCGCATGTGATAAAATCTTAAATGGTGGAGAGCTGCAGGTGATATTATGGTGATTATTTGCTCGTATCAAACTGCTGTGTGTTTGCTGTACGTTTTTATTGCACACAAAGACAGGCCAATGTAAGTAACTAGGGCACAACATTGTTTCTGAAAGACACAATCTTTTGGGCACTTGTTGAAAAACTGCCATACTGGAGTAACAGTGTTGACAGTGGTAGGGTTGCTGGTTTGAATTCCCATTTTGTCTGTCTCAGTCGTTGTCTTTGGTGCATGGTAGCTATCAAACTGCCCCAGGGAATCCATGGCTACAGCGTAGTAGCATTCCTTTGAAATACTGAATGTCTGAGCAGCAAAGTCCGTTAAAGACCCGTTGTTGTTGTATCCACCTTCCAGACCGATCAGGCCATCTGTTTCAGAACCAAACACAGAGAAGCAGCATTCAGTTGTATACTACTGTAATCTGGAACCAAGTTCCAGAAAAATGCAAAAATGCTGAAACACTGAGCTGCCTTCGATGAATAAGAACTGAAAAATCATAAACTGTAGTCTCTCTTTCAACCTGCTATTGTTTCCTCTTACAATGTGATATCTATTTCTTGCTTGT